TTCTAAAGACCATGTCAAGAAGGTATAACCGTACATATCCTTGGTTTTATGTTGTTGGATCTTGGGAGACTCTGATTTTGAATAATGTTTTGAAAACAATGGTTACGTAAACACTTTTTAAGTAAATGGATTGTTTTTGGAAAGTTTAAATTTGTTGTGATTTTTAAGATGTTACATAACATATACTATTACTTAAAATTATAGTCATTTCATCATTCCATTAAGTTTATCCTATTAGTAAGTAACACATCTGACGGTTAACTTCTTCCAATAGTTTTTTCTTAAATTTAAAACTAAAATATAATTAAAATATAAAATGAAATATGATTAGAAGATACGGAGGGGTAAATATACTAAACATTAAAGTATATTAACAACTCAATATATATTGAGTTTTCAATAACATATACTATTACTTAAAATTATAATCATTTCATCATTCCATTAAGTTTATCCTATTAGTAACTTCTTCCAATAGTTTTTTCTTAAATTTAAAACTAAAATATAATTAAAATATAAAATGAAATATGATTAGAAGATACGGAGGGGTAAATATACTAAACATTAAAGTATATTAACAACTCAATATATATTGAGTTTTCAATAACATATACTATTACTTAAAATTATAATCATTTCATCATTCCATTAAGTTTATCCTATTAGTAACTTCTTCCAATAGTTTTTTCTTAAATTTAAAACTAAAATATAATTAAAATATAAAATGAAATATGATTAGAAGATACGGAGGGGTAAATATACTAAACATTAGTTTTCAATAATAAAATAAATTATTAGTTCCAATGATTATAAATTATAAAAAAAAAAATAAGACAAAGAAAACATTAATAAAATATAAAATAAGTTCTCATTGGAAACACTTTTAAAATATCTCCAATAGTAACATTTATTATAAATGTCTCCAATAATAACATTATGTTATAACTTAAAATAAATGTCACATAATTGTTCCATTAAACTTGACATCTAAATAAATTATCACTCAAATGGTTAAAGCTTATTTGAATAGTTTTTTTTATATAAATGTAACTAATTTACTCTCGGAAATCTAATTTTTTTTTTTAAAAAAACCCTCATTTATTTCTTCCATGTTTAAATTCAAATAAAATTTTAATACAAACGTATAAATACAAATATATCGATTCATTATTTATATATATATAATATGAAAATTTATTATATTGTAGTTACAAAAATAAAATAAAAACATTGAAAATATTATAATATTATCATAAAATTTATATTTTATAAATAAGATGTCATTAAATATTTAATAGGAATAATTAATTAGTAAAGAAATAAAATATATATATATATATATATATATATATATATATATATATATATATATATATATAACTAAATTATAATTAAAAAGGTAAAATGAAACATGGTTAAACTAGAAAGTGTTATATGTACAAGTTATTAAAATATATGGTAAAAAAAACAAATGGTATTAACTGGTTTATAGAAAAAGTTTATATTCATAATCTATAAAAAAAAAAAAATCAAATGGCATTTGGCTTACCAATAAGAAGTTTTTTCAAATGAGAGAGCATAAGTTCTGATATCACTAGAACACATAATAATATTTAGAAGTAGATTAATTTGTCAATTAAAAAAAATCCATAAGAAAATTTTCCCATTGAAAATGTTCATATAAACTAGTTTATTGATAAGCTTAGCTTGAAATAGTTTATTAGTAATAAACAAGTTTCCCAAACAAAACTTCAAGTAACATGCTATTTTCTCAATTAATTTCTTACTACGTTTGGAATTTAATTTTTTCTGTGAATCTCTACCAAAAATATATACTCATTCTACCTATAGAAAAAAACCGTCCTTATACCCTTCAAACTCATTCTACAATCGTATATACTATTTATTTTGATTGGATGTATAGATTGTTGACTCTAAATTATAATTCAAAACATTATATCGTGATACAAGTGGCGTTGTCTTGGTCGTGCCCAAGTCTTTTGGACTTGTTATTGGTTCAACCAACTTTGATATCGTTAAGTAACGAATGACCCCACTTGGAAACTTAACGTTCACCCACATCTACCTTCCATGAAACCACTCACGTTGACCATATCATATCCAAACCAGTGATTCATTTATTCCCATTCACTTTGACTATATATACATCCCCTCTAAAACCATTTACACCACACTCAAAACTTTTACACATCTTGTTTTTTGTCACACATACATGGATTCATATTCGGATTCTTCAAGTTCGGTTGATGCAGAAGAGAACGCATTTTATCAAGAACTCACTCGACAGATACTCATGCTTACAGATGAAGATGATGATCGGTATACAGTGGAGACAAGGCGGAGACCAGTGGTTCGTGGTGGTGGTGGTGGATCAAGGCCGGTGGCTAGGAACTACTATAGTTGGTCGGAGACTGTGATAAGTCCGGTCCCTGGTTGGATGGAAAGTTTGTGGGCTAATGGTGGCGGTGGCACCGGAGTTTTCATACCTAGCGGTGTTGGTGTTGCCGCCTACGGTGGTGGTGGTGGAAAGAAGTCCAGTAGGAGAAGGCGGAATAATAAAGTAAGCAAAAATAATAATAATAGAGGTGGTGGACAAAAGATACATGGTTAAGTATATATAAGATTAATAACTTTTTTAGTGCAAAGGTATGTAATTAATATCTATATATGGTGTAGGTGTACCCATTCCTTATTTTTTTTTCTGTGGAATATATCGGTTAATATATTTATTGATTTGTGTCATTTTACGTAATGTTTAGCCGTTATATAAACATTGTTGTAACAATTATAAAACCGAATTCAAGCATCAATTTCTAACACAAGCTAAAGTTGTGAACAATATCTAGTTTTTAATATTTATAAAAAAAAAAAAAAAAAAAAAAAAAACGCATTTTCACATTACAACAACTGACAACTTAGGAATAATAATAATAATAATAATAATAATAATAAATTAATAATAATACGAGACCTGTTTATTTAGCTAGACATCAGTGACTGAAGAGCTTGATTTGCGAAAAAACGGACATCAACATCTGGGTCTTCCGCCAGCTCAACCAAACACGGCCTAATACTTTTCTCCACCACCTGGAGGACAAAAAAGTAAATTCACGAAATTTAGAGTAAGTTACATTTTTGGTCCTTGAGTATAAAGAATATTGTTACTTACTGAATGGTCAACGATAGGAATTAACAGCTGCAAGACCTTTGCGACATTAAACTTGATATTCGGCACTCTGAAGAAAACAAATAAATTAAATAGGAAATAGAAAATGGAAAGAGGAGAATAAAAAGATATTACAAAAATGTAACTAAATAATTACCTGTCTTTGGATAAGGTAATGAGTGGTGGAAGAAGTTTAGAACAAGTAATTTCTGAGCCCATAACTGGGGCAAGTAGAGAAATTGCACGAACGACTGTCATTCGATATAAATAATGCGGATTATTAATCATCTCCAACACCTGCCACAAATAAAAGATACACACAAATTAAAACATATTAAATCCAAGAAGACTAATTTACACTTTTCGTCCCCAAGTATATCTTGTTTTTACAATTTTGGTCCTTATTTGAGTTTCTTGTAATATATTGTCATTGCTTATTCAGTTTGAGACCAAAATTGCAAGAGAAAGCTTTTTGGAACCAAAATAATAATAAAAAAAATCAGTTAACTCAGGGACAAAAATGTAATTTATTTTATGCACTGAAGAAATAATAACCTGTGGGACAATATGTTGCATTGACCAATCTGGACCGAACTCCTCTGCTAAACGCTTTAAGTTATTAGCAGCAGCATCTCTAATGGAGTAAACCTGAAAAAAAAAAAAAAAAAAAAAAGGTAATACTACAAGTTAGTTTAATATAAAAAAAAAATAAAAATAAAAAAAAAGTCCTTCCATATGCGCTTTATAATCAATTTAGTTTTTATATTTTTTTTATTCAATTAAGTCCTAAAACCCGGTAATTGTATTCATTTTGACCCTTTAGCCCGGTCAACAGGTCATCCCACTTTCAAAATTACACTTTTGACCCAGATTTAAATTTTTATTACAAAATTGGTCCAAAATTTAAACTTTTGGCCCAGATTTTAAATTTTATTACAAAATTGGTCCAAAATTTACACTCTTTGCACAGATTTCAGAATTTTGTTACGAATTCATCCTAAATTTAGTTTTTTTTACATTATTTTTTCTCAAAATTTTGTTTCGAATATGTTTTTTTCTTTATAAAATCATATTTGTACAAAAAAAATATTTTCACATACAGAAACCTTATTTTTTCTATATAAAAACTTTTTTTTAAAAAACATTTTTGTATACGAAATACCTATTTATAAGAACAGGTCTTTACTCTTTATTAAGTACATAAATAAATATATACAAATCCATTTTTATTAAAAAAAAAAAAAAAAAAAAAAAAAAAAAAACATGTATACAAACACCTATTTTATTATAAATGCATTTGTATACCAACACATATTTATAAACAAATGTATACAAACACGTTTTTATAAAAAAATATATACAAACACGTATTTCACAGTAAACGTATTATATATATATATATATATATATATATATATATATATATATATAATACGTGTTTATATACATTTTCTATATAAACGTGTTTGAATACAAATGCATTTGTTATAAAAGAGGACCAAACGTTACAAAAAAGCTCAAAGAAGGACCAAAATTGGAAGAGAAAACCTTTTGGGTATGAAATTGAAAAAACAAGCCAAAAATGTAATTTACTCAAAACCATTTTTTTTTAACTAACCTTGTCTTGTAACCATTGCATGCAAAGAGAACCAAGTTTATCATCAAAAAAGGCTACACCTAATTGACTAGCCAATAGTGGAATGTATTCTATAATTGCCAAACGAACCCTCCAATGTCTATCTTCTGCCAACTCAACAATTGCTGGAAGTAAAGATTGAGATAAAAGATCGATCCCGATGACCTGGCATTTATTTTGTGTTATAAAGCAATAATTATTTATTAATGAAAGCAACAAGTATCATCTAATCTACCTGATTTACTTGATCTAGCTTGCTGATAATATTGAGGCGTACATCTGGAAACTCGTCTTTTAGAAGTGAGAGAAAAATAGGAAGAAGTTGTTCAATTGTTGCATCCTGCAATTCGTTATAAAAAGCTCAGTTATATAGTTGTATTATACCTTTTTATAAAATTAAATGAAAAAAAGTTGTTACCTTTCCTAAAACAGGAGCCATGCCCATTATAACAGAAGCCAAAGCAGATCTAACATGCTGAGAAGAATCCGATGACAATTCCTACAAATGTTTCTTGGAAGAATTAGAATTAAAAAAAAATAAAAACAATAAACTTTTATAAATCATCATCATTGATAATACCTTTACACATGGAAGAATATGTTGAATTGCAAGTTGTGGGGTAAGAATTCGACTAAATTTTGTGACTTTTCCAGCAGCTGCAATACGTACTTCAGCTTCATTATCACCAAGTAGCCTCACGTATGCTGGAACTAACTCACTCCTATTATAATTTAAAAAGAAAATGTTAAAAAACGAAAATAGAAAAAAGAAAAAAGAAAAGAAATTGTTTTGGATTTGAAAATTCAACATACTTGGTGGGTTCAGGGCCCACTGCTTCACATAGTTCATACAATTGATTAGCAACCATATAACGAACACGCCAAGACTTGTCCTGTTTTTAACAGAAAACATTCAAATTTTGTTTTCAATTCTCATTTTCTTTAAAAAAAAGATTCACTTGTTAGAAACTTAACCTGAGAAAAATTAACAATGACAGGAAGAATATGTGCAACACAGTCTTGGGGTTGTAGCAACTTCCCAAGAGCAGCACAACCCTCAACAGCTAGTAAACGAACAGAATCTTGATCTATAGAAAGTAAAAGAAAAAAAAAAAAAAAAAAGTAATTAGTTGCTTTCATCATGAACTTGAGAAAGTTATATAAAATATGAGATAAACAACTTACCATCTTTTGTAAGATCCTGAAAGATCTCCATGATGTCAGTTTTGAGATGTGAAGGTTCCACAGTTGCAGCAAATTTTCCCAAATTTGTTGCAGCTGCTCTTCTAACCATGGGCATATCATCTTGACATAACTGATTAAAAACTGATCTCAATTCTGTTTTCAATGCCTCAGAGGCACTAGGATAAGCAATGTGAAACAGCCCACATGCAGAAACTCTAGCAGTAAACCATTCACCAGCTGCCAACCTCTGAACCATAGATCAAAAATCATGTCAAGAAACAGACGTTCACCAATGAAGAAGAGATAGAATGATAGATTACTGAAAAATAAACCAACCTTAACAAGAGGTACAAAGGAATCAACCAAATCAGACTCTCTCATTTGTGATCCGATCCTGCATAAGGACTCAACAGCTTTGTCCCTCACACATGTCTCTTCAACAGTACATAGGGTTTCAAGAGGGGGAAGCAACACAGGGGCATGCTCTATTCCACCAACATAAGGGATAAACACACCCAACTCCTCTGCCATGGCTAGAAGAACCTCATCATCATCATCATTGTTTTCACTTAAGAAAGGAATCAACTCCTTTCGTGTCCTATCTTCTCCTAGAGCACGAGCAATTGTGGATAGCCTTCTGATGGAATTTAAGCGCAATTGGATGTCATCATTTTTCAGCTCGTCTATCAGTATTGCTATGGGGTACAAAGGTTCATCCACCATCGACATTGTAGTTCAAAAACTACTGCACTTTTCAGCCAAATTCATACAGGATTACAAGTCATTCATCACATGATAGCATGTTAAATTCAACAAGGATGATCTAGGTTTTCTTAATTTGTAACTCGACTAAAAAGATATAGGTTCGATGGAAGTCTGGAACCAATGTATGTTCTTCAAAATTGAAATGGAATACAACAGCAAAGAGATTATATACAGATATATAAATATATAATGACATAAAATCTACGTCGGATTGGCTAGTTGAATTCAGTAAATTAAATTGCCACACTTGAATAAGATTAAACGTAAGACATGTGAGATCCGTAAATAATCTCGAATTACAAATCGAGAAGCTGAAAATAATCGAATGTAAACGAAATTACATAATCAAGCTTTCGAGGACATGACACCTAGGGCTTACCAGGTTGTGTTCGTTTACATATAGTTTGAATCAAATAAATCAAATTTTGAGGGATTTAATTCGAATGAATCCACAGAGCAGATATATACGTAAAGAGTGAGGAAAGTAACGGAGAGATATCGGAGAAACTTACCGGCGGCAAGGACTGTGTTTCCCACTTTGATTCGTCGGATTCGAAGCCTCGAAGGGGAAAGAGAGCCGGTGTCAACGTATTGAATCAAACGCACCGAACGCCTTTTTTGACAAAACGGAACTTGTTGGCAAAGATTTTTGTTCATGTTAGAATTTTGGATTTTAAATCTATAAAAAATATTTGAAGAGAGTTCTTGTAATTTTTTTTTTTTTTAGTCTTGTTATATTTATTGCGGTTAACTGTTTAACTTGTTGAACGAATTTATATATTATAGTAATGATAATATATCGAATACATTAACAAATTGAATGGTCAATATAAAAAAATTGACTATGAATAATTTTTTTTTTATATATATTTTTTAAAACTTTTTATAATTTCTTATAATATTTTAATGATATTTTTTTCAGTTTTTCTAATACAATGTTTTACACTTTACTTATAATTTTTTTTATACTTTCATATAATTTCATTATAAGTGTTTTTAAATCAAATATTTTTATTTTTTCTTAAAAGTTTTTAACCTTTTTTTTTACATTTTCATATAATTTTTTTATAACTTTCATACAGTTGTTTCTAAATTTTTTTTTACAACATTTTTAAAGTGTTTACAAATTTGTATATGTCAATTTAATATTTTTTTATAACATTTAAAATATTTTCGTTAAATATTAGTTTAAAATGTTATATTAAAAAAATAAATTTATAAACTTTAATTAAAAATTATTAAAAAGTTGTAATAATTTTAAAACATCTATATTATATAGATTTTTTTTTGTTTTTTTATTTGATATATAATTTTTTTTTAAAAAGACTCCTCATACTTATTCAAATCATTTATTGCTACGCCGCGCAACATACGTCAAACACTTGATCCTTTGCAGCTGTTAGTCATAATATTTTAAGTCAGAATATTTCTGACTTAAAAATTGTTGTTTGTGTGCTGCGTGACGCAACACTTGACCATCTGCTTCAAACTTCTTCACACATTACTTTAACTTATTGTAGCAGTCTACAGAAGTTAAAAAACAAACAAATTTTTTATTGAATGTTGTAGTTGTTTGGTTCCCTCTTATGCTATAGAAAGTTGCAGAGGTGGTCTGCAAACTTCAAACTATTTCGCTTCGAAAAAACAAACAGCACCTTGGATACTATTTACTTTAAAAATATTGTATATGCTTAAAAATAAAGGAAAAAAATATAAAAGGCTATATAAAATATTTTACAAAACAAAAACATACTTATTAATTAAAAAGTAAATTTTAGAAGTGATCAATATTTAGTTAATATTCGTGACATTAGGATACCTTAAAAATTATAACACTCCAAATCAGGTATTACCTTTGGAACCCTTGAAGTTATAATTATTGCATAATGGTCCCTTAAGTACGATGGGCATACTTAAGGAGTACACTTAGTATACCATGCATGGATGATCGCAAAGGGACAGCACGTACGCTAGGCGTACCAAAGTGTACGGGGGGCATACATGATGAATGTTCAAACCCTAATTCCTAGACTTAAGACCTATATAAGCATCCTTATCCCATTTGAGCCTTACCCTAACTAGCATCTTCACCCTCAAACGTCCCTAAAGCCCTGAAATAATTAGAGAGTTTGTTCTTTAGATTGTGAGTGTTTAAACACCATCCTTTTTAGTGTGTTAACTACAAGGAAGAGGAAGAAACAAGCTTAAACGAGGAAGAGCTTCTGGATCTTGCATTTTTTTAACATATAAGGAAGCTTGAGGAGATAAAAAGCTTTCACATTGGTCATCATTTTCATTTCTAGAGCTAGGGTTTTCTCTTTAGTCTCTTTTTGTGTTCTTGGACCACCTATTGAGAATTTGAGCAACTCCAAAGCTTAGGAAGGATATATCTGAAGTCCTTTAGTCCATTCACAGCATAAAAATGGAGTATTGATGGGTGTTTTGACCTCATGCATAGATTAAGACTCTTGGAAAAGTGTTAATGGGTTGTTGGGAGCATATGGAACATGCAAAGGCATAAAGTTGCCAACGTTATTCCTTAGGACGCCTTAATGGACTCGGATCTAAAGATTAGACATTGGAACATCAAGTATTAAGCACTTTAATGGAAGAAAGTGTTTAATCTGCTTGTACGTTGGGCATAGTATAACGTACGTAACGCGTACAGCTCAGGGACTCAGCACGCTAAACATACAGGAGTGATGCGCAATGCGTACGCATTTAGAGGGGCTTAGACTTGTTTTGGACTTATACGCCCTTTTGGTCCTTAATCAGTCATTGGGTCTAGTCATTTTTTGAGTTAGTGTGCCAATTTATCTGTTTCGGGACATGGTTACTATGGTTGAGCTTTATTGGGCCATGAGGCCCATTAATGATTTTGGTCATGGACTTTAGGCCCATTAGCAATGGGAGACTTTTGGGCCATTATGAAATGACTTGGGGCTTGGGTTCTTTAATTGGATTATATTCAACCCTAACATTGGGTTAATAGTATTATGGTTCAGCACAGGTGGTTACGGGTTATTAAGAGAGCAACTTTCGGATTCAACAGACAGAGGTGAGCCTCCTCACCATACTAATGGGTCTAAGGCACCAAGGTTAGCCCATTTAGTTAGTAGTAGTGTTTATTGTGGATTCACTACGGATATGTCTGGTATGCATATATATATATATATATATGTGTGTGTGTGTGTGTGTGTGTATGTGCTAGTACATATTGACTAGATATGTGAAGACCCTGAAGGAGCCCATGACAGTTGGATATAAGACCATGTGGCGGAGCCCATGGCTTTCCTAGGTATAAACCATGTAGGGGAGCCAATGACACATAAGAGTAAGACCTTGAGGGAGTCCACGACATCCCTATATGTTTATATATAAGTTATGTAGTATGATAAATATTTTTGTGATATATGATATGCTAGTTGACTATTATGTTATTTGCATGGAAGACCTCGGAGGGAGCTCGTGACAGTTGGATATAAGACCATGTAGGGGAGCTCGTGGCATTCCTAGGTAAACACCATGTGGGGGAGCCCATGGCAAGTAGTAGAGACCATGGAGGGAGCTCATGACATGTAGGTATAAGACTCTGGGAGGAGCCCACGACATCCTTATATGTTTGTATGCATAACTTATATGGTTTATGTAGCTTATACAACTAATATGAATTATGTGATTATATGGATTGTATGGGGGTATGCTATGGGGAACTCACTAAGCATTAGCTTACAGTTTGTTGTTTGTTTCAGGCACTTCATAGCTTAAGGGTAAGGGTAAGGTTTGATGGTGCGACATGCACTCTCCGACATTTCACTACGAGACACTCTGATATTTGAAATAAAATGTTGATGTTATGAATTTTGGAAATAATTGTCATTGTGATTTCATATTTTATGAGACTGTTTTGATTAATAAAAAATGAAAATTTTATTTGGAAAATTGGGTCGTTACAAAAATATCGTTTGAAAAAAATAATAAAAGCAAATATGAAAAATAAAATCGCTATTAAATGTGGAGAAAATGACTTAGCAATATAATTAACTTTCCGGTTTGTTCATATCTAAACAACTTTTTTTTACACATTCGACTATTTTATTTGTTAAATGTATTCACATATTATCATTATCACCGACTATAGCTGGTGACAATGATAATATGTGAACATATATAATAAGTTAAATTGTCAAATATTTACAATTTTTTTTGCCTAAATGTGACCAAAACAACAAAGATAGTTACCCTAGCAAGTCATTTTCTCGTTCTTTTAATCTAATGTAGTTTTATCACAATATAATCTGGGTAAATTGTATGATATTTATTAAGTTTCGAAAAAATATGATGATTATTATTCACGAGCTCAAACGAAGATAATCGGTACAATAAACAGAGAACCATTGTTAGAATCCTAGTTGTTACCCCTATTTATAGAATGAGCATCAGGCATAAAAGTTGTATACATTAGGCTCATCCATTTTTATGCCAAAATGGATGTCAACCAATCACAAGACACCATATAACCGCTTATAGAATCCTCAACGTTAAGGGAATGTGCATGTAAACATGTGACGCACATTGGCACAATCAAACATATTCCTAAAATGTTTATACAAACACTTTCAAAAGCAAGAAGTGCGTTCACCATGCTATAGTGCATCCTTGAGTTAATGAGAACGCATTGGCCATCATAAAGAGCACGTTTAGAAGGACAACACATTTATGTAACACATCTACTCCACCTGGAATGCATAAAAAGAGTGCATCCTAGAAGGCAAAAATGAGTATCGATGCGGTTGGTATTGAGATCTTTGATCATGTTCATATTTCTGATATTCTTTTGTTCTTTCCTCGTTATCCGCTTTTGCTCATTTTGAATATACTCATGAAACTTAGGATCAAAAATATTTTTTAAATCGTTAAAAATTTATTTTTACTACTTGTAGTCGTTCATACCTTATCCACGAGTATGGATTAGATAAAATCATTCATTTTAGATCCGAGAGTATGGATCATGTCGTTGTGAGAATCGATGGGGTGGGGTAAATTGGAAAAGGGTAGTTTACTAGTTTAGTAATATATTATATTACTAGTTTATAACATGTGGAAACCACAATTATACAATTAATTAATTTTTCATAGTAAAAATTTTAAATTATTGATCAATTATTTCAAATAAATTATTTTAAATAAATTATTATTTAAGAGATATTATTTTTAGTTATATAAAATTATAATAATTGATTTAAATAAATACATGAAATTATATCATCTTATAATATATATATATATATTGATTTTATTTTGTTTTTTTATTCTAATGTTATTAATTTAATGTAATTAAAATGTGAAATTTAAAAATTGAAATTAAGAATCAAATATTAATTAATGTAATTAAAGAGAGAAATTTAAATTTTAAAATTTGAAATGGATAATTAATATGTTGACATGTGGCATGATAGGTGATATATAATATTAATGAGGATTTCTAATATTATTACACCTATCAATAGGAGAATAAACTTATTTATTTATTAGAATAGGAAGATTTTGATTTTCAGATTTTTGATCAGTTTTTAACACTAAACTGATTTAGTCTTAACTAAAATATAAATTTGAACATATATGTAAGTTTTATAATTTTAGATGGATATATATGTAATTTT